AATAAAAAGATAAAAAGCAAAAAAAATGAAATGATTGCATAAGGTTAAGGGTGTCATTAGTATATTAACCTTCCTCATAACTAAATTTGAAGCGAAACGAATTATGCCAAAGTAAACAATTATTCTATTATCTTTTATTTAAAATCCATATTTATATATTCTTTATCCAAGTTTTTGCTTATTTTTGTTTTCCAAGGTTTTCCCCAATCTCACCTCTATACATATACATATACATATACATATACATATACATATACATAAAGATAGGTTGAGTTTATGATGAGAACAAAACCTTTATACACGTTCAACTACTTTTATTTATCATTTTTTATTTATCTTAATGATCAAAATTTTAACAAATTCATACATATAAAAGTAATTAAATGTACGTAAGCTTCTATGAAAATGACTTAAATAAAAACAAATGAATGTAACTAAACTCATCCAAAGTTCAAAAGCTGCAAAGTGTTCCATCGTTCTCATCATAAATATTTTTCTCACACCATCCCTCCCCAAAGGAGCATATTATGTGTATGCCATCAAACAAAAGAATCCAAAGCCTATTAAGCATAGAAATCAAACAGCAAGTTGCTGTTGTGTAGTGGTTATCACGTTACTCTTACACACTAAGGATTGTTCGGTTGTTTTTTTATTAAGTCCTGTATAGGTTAAGATATTTGTTGGGATTTAATTGTCTAGATGGATTGGGCTAAATAATTGTTCGGTTGTTGGTGCTAAATAAATCGTCTGAATAATATAAATTGCAACTTTACCCTCTTTTTTTTTCTTCAACCGTTTTGGATGAAACATAACTCTAAATGGTTCGTTCGATTCATGGCTAGAAAACACATCATCAAACTGCAACTTGTCATCTCCTTCATCATCGCCTTCATAACTACAAAAGACTCGAACTTTAGGGGCCACAACAAGCTTCTCCACAGTCTCATCAGCCGGAATCCCATCGAAACTTAAACTCCGGTGACTTTCAACGGAATCATTGTCACTATCACAATCGACGGTCAAAGGAGCAACAAGTATACCCAGTTTTACAGGCGAGAAGATACCAAAATCGCTGACACCTGGTCCATTAAATCCCTCAACAAAACTACTACTTTCTTCAAGTGGGATTTTCACAAAAGGCCTAAAAATGGCAGATATATCAAAATCCCTATCCTTTTCACATAATTTTCGTCTGCTAGTACATGAATGTTCTTCAACATGATAGCTTTCTATCACCATTTCTTCACCTTTCAAGGAAGGAGAAGGGAGGCAACGACGATTTCACTTTGAGAGGGTTTTCTATTTTGTTTCCAAGGGGCAGGGAGCGTGAATCATAAGGGCAAGAAATGACAAACGAGGGCTGAATGCAAACCACACCCTTTTACCAACCGACCGAATAAGCCATTATCTGTTTCATTAAGCCACAGCCGAACAACCTTGTATGACTTACCGAATAAGCCATACAGCTTATTAAGCTGCTACCAAACAGCCCTAAAGGTCTCTAATTCAAACCTGGGCAGCAACATTTCAAATTTCTTATTTCTAAAAGCATCATTAAACCACAAATACAATAAAATCAACTTTTACATTTTACAATAAAAAATTAAATTACAAAACCGATGATCAATTTAGGAACCCACCGCCAATGACTTCGTAGATCTGTGGCGCGGCCTCGGTTTCACCCCATGCCGCCCACCACCACTACCACCGCCACTTCGATGCCTACTAAATGAAGACGAACCACCACCTGCAACTCTCTTAACCGATCTCCTACGACCATTCGAATTCCCACTCCCACTCCCGAGCGCAGCTCTCGTAACCGCTTCTTTAGCAACTTCTCGTGCCTTTTGTGGATTCACTGCTTGCTTGTTTAAATACGCAAGTTTTGGAAGAAGGCTGCAAAGCGTTTTTCGTATTTGATCGTCGCTAATATTGGTTTGGATTGGATTACCCAATAGATTCAAAGCTTGCATAGAGTTATAATTAGCCACTAATTGCCCAAGTGCTTTGGTGGTTGTTATCTTGTTGAAGCTCAAATCCAAGATTATTAACTTCAAAAGCCTGTGTAGCCCTTCAACATTGCTGATTTTGTTTCCAGCAAGATATAGCTCCTTAATCAGGGTACAGTTCGATAACCCTGAAACCGTTCATACTTAAATTGATTAGATTACTCTTTCAAAAGAGCCATCTGTCAAAGAGAAAAAGGTCTCTTTGTTAGCAGCTTTATGGGACTGACAGCTTATTGTTTAGTAGTAGCTTAATGATATAGAAAGTTGCTTATTTGATAAGTTTCCGAACATGCTCCTCCTAATCAAATTATATACCCCTTTCATCTATGAAAAAATGGTCCCAAACAAAAACTTTGGAGTAAATTACGATTTTCATTCATGTGGTTTGTTAAATATTTTGATTTTTGTCCTTGTGGTTTAATGAACTGCGTTTTTCGTCCCTATGGTTCATAAGTCATTGCTATTTTCATTCTTATAATTTACAATTTATTGTTGTTTTGGTCATTGTGGTTTACAATTCTTTACCGTTTTGATCCACTATATTTAAAGGTAGGAATTAGTCTATGGATGAAAATAGCAATAAATTGTAAACCATTGGAACGAAAACCGAAATTATTAACAAACCATAGGGATGAAAATCGTAATTTACTCAAAATCTTATTAAGATAGATTAATCTATACACGCAATTGTATCAATAGAAAAACAACCAAACAATCCCTAAATCTAGTTGATGTGGGATCCATTGGAGGCTAGATGGGTCTAGATTGCCCCAAAGTGTCAAGTTCCTAAAGTGATAGACCTTTATGTCGGATACCATGTGGCGTGGAAGTCTAACGTGCCCTTCGCAAGGGCGGCTAAATTGTCCTAGACTGCAGTGGCAGAACGAGGAGCCGAGCGGATGCACCAAATAAATACGAAAACCCAGGATCGCCGGATGGTGGCGACAAGGAGCCGCCCCCTTGCGGTAGGAGGAGCTAACATTGTGTGAAGGTATTTTCATTCTTGTTATACTTCAATGTCCGTCATCAGTTTAAAAGGTATTTTCATTCTTGTTTTTACATGCAAAATTTATTACTCGAATCCCATATATCCAATAAATTCAATAAACTAAAACGTGTGTTTTTTCCTGTTTGTTTTATAAAACATATTACATATCAAGCTAAGCCCTTTTATTTTTAAAATATTCTAAAGCAGCCCTCGAACTTAAGGATGCACCTTAAAGGACCCTAAATCTTTTCCTAATAGGAGTGGATGCACGTTCAACCCCCTTCCCCAAGTGTAGATCCTCCCCCCAACGGCTACATATTGTCCCCAACGTTAGATTAGTCTCTAAAAGAGAGTTGTCCCCAACCCAACGTTGGATTAGTCGCGAAAAGAGAGCTTGAGGAGAAATGTGCCATGGGACTTGAAGCACATACAAGTATGCATAGCACTTTAGAAACTTATTTGGACTCTAATTTTGGATACAAAGATGAGTCGAGTTGCTTACCCTGCCCGATTCTGGAAACTCGGTTGTAACTTAGGTTAAGAATCCGCAATCGAGTGAGCTCTCTGAGGCCTTCAATGGCACCGATCTTGTTTCTTGAAAGATCAAGAATGTGAAGACCTTTTGGCAAGGACCCTGGTGTTATATAAACTGCAAGAACATCAACAAGTCAGAAATTAGTTTTCTTACACCAATCAATCAAAAATGAAATCCTGAATAATGGGTTGTCGACCTATTGAGTTCCCAGATAAGTTTACTGATCGGAGACTTGAAAAAGCCGAAATTGCAGGGATGACCTTTAGTCCTATACCCGAAATGTAAGCCACAGTTGAAGATGAATTTAAAGATTGTACCACCCTGTTAGCATACGCAATCTCTTCAGGAAGATTGACGTTTCTGGCTAAATGGCTCGATGCCGGCTGTTTACCATTATCGGGTGAGGGTGGAAAGGTAATTTCACTCTCTTCTTCTTCATTAGAAATTCCAAAAACAGGCTCTGCTGGGATTTCTTGAACCCATTCATCTACTCTCATCAATGGTGATCCACCAGAAAAAGCCATCCATTGATTCTGTGGCCATAAACCAGAACTTCCATGAATCACATTCCATCTATCATCTCCATTGTTGCCTTTTTCTAATTTCGTGGACTTTGATTTGGAGTTCTCGATTCTTCGATTTGGTTCGAGGGTATCCGAAGAATACCCTCCTTGTTGATTGTTAACAAAAAGCCGGCTTTGAATCCCTTTAACCGGTTCATGTAGATTTCTATGGCTCCATAAGAACAGTTTCCACCATAATCTCCTGCTTTTCGACGGCAAGATTTGACTCGAAGAACACTTTCTCAAGATCACTTTATCTGCACTACAATGACTCATTACCGAAACAGGACTAATACAACCATCACCTAGCCGCTGCAAATCTTCATAAGATTCACTAGGAAGGATTATATTCTTCAAGATGGGAACCCTTTTCGTTTCTAGATTCGAACAAGATCGTTTTAGCTTCGGAGAAGCTAAAAACGGCCGTTTTGAAGCCCCAGGATCACTTAAATGTCCATCATTTTTCATCTCGATATCTGAAGAGTTGTTATGATGATCAACAAGATTCGGGTTTTTGTACCCATCTTGTTCTTGAATCGGCATTTTACCGATGGAAACTCGGTGATTTGGATTTGAATATGAATCTTTTTCGTGTTCATCTTCACCTTCATATGCTACCTCTTCTTCTTCTTCTTCTTCTTCTTGAAGAAGTTGAGCTTTTTTTACAGGACTTTCATGGCTGACAACCTTGATATTGCAGGTTGAACTCTTGGGAATAGAGAAGGGTACATCCAAGCTGAATGTTGACTTTGACTCTGATTCTAGATCATCTGTATGTATAGGGTTCTCTAGATGTTGTAATCTCACCTGGAGAATCTTATCATCCTTCTGTTCCTAAGAACATAAACGAAATAATGAGTCAAAAACGATACTCCCCTTTTGACTTCTATGGTCAAATTACACTCACAATACAAGAAAATTGAGTTTATAGTTCGTGTACAGTATCTAGCGGGTTAATAGAATACTTTGCCCCAATACCCCGTTTTAACAAGTTTTTTTAAATTCACTTTTAAAATAAAGTGTCTTTTACATAACACTTTTAGATAGCATATTTATGACTCTTTGGTTGGTTTCTATTAGATCCTATATAGATAAAGTTAACTCTCGATATGGATTGAAACGGATTCTTTTACACATAGGAGTTAGGCTTTTAATTGGAAAAAAGTTATCTTTCCACTTACCCATTTTCTATATGATTAAGCCACCATCAAACAGCACAGCGTATAAATAAGTTTGAGAGCTGTTAACAAACAGACCCTATTATCCTCTTAGAAAGCATACATATTTTAGGTATCCTGTAAACCAAATTTTGTTGCGGTGAGTATAAAGATTGAACATCACCAACACAAAGCTATGATTAGAAACAGAAAACAAGGGTTATTCAATCATATTGGAGTGGATGATGTTTGTGGCCAAATATTTAACCAGAATCAAACAATAATATTGGAATTCAAGATATGAAATATTCTAACCTTAGTTTTCTTGTTTCTTCCTGGCGATGAAGTAAAGCAACAAAGAATCGACATAGATTTGGTTGAAAAGATATAAAAAAAACCCAGAAAAACGATATTGAAATGGGAGATTTGGAAACAGAATGGATCAAAGATTAGCCATAATCAATGGGTAATTGGGAAAGAAGAGAAAAAAGATGGTGGTCGGAGATCGAAGAAGAAGAACCTGCAGCAGGGTTCACCACCGTTACGGCGGCCAGAGTGGCGTATAGTAAAGAGCTTCCGGTGGTGGTAGACGGCGGAGGAAACAAGGAGATGGTGGTGATTAATTTAATTTTGAATTAAAGAAGTGGAAATAAGTATAAATGAGAAGGTCCGCGCATAGGACACGCTTCTCTCTCATCTGCTCGATTGGATTCGGGTTTGGATTCTCTTGTTTTAATCATCCAATTATTACTTTTTCCTAGTTATATTTTATTATATTTCTGGGTTGGTTTCACATTTTAGTCACTTTTTTATAAGGTTTTTCAAAATAGTTTTAGATCCGTAATTCTACATTTTTGCGGACCTGCATAAAAAAGGTCTTTTTTTTTTTTTTTGCAGACAGAGGTAGAAATTGTAAACTTTTTTATCTTTTAGTTGAGTTCACTGGATTTTTAAGAAACCTATACTTTTTACTGAATTTACATTTAAAAAATGTAATATAATTTAGAGAATTCTCTCTCTTTTCTCATCTCTTCGCTTAGAATCTTTTCGTAATATATATGTAGACACACAATTGAATAGGTATAAAAGATGAACAATTTCTTAGAAACATTATTATAGTTTGTGAATACATTTTAAATCTATAAAGTTTATTTAATATACTATGAATAATTACAACAACAAAACTAAATCCAACACTTATGAACAATATTTGAACCTTGTGAACGTTCCTAGAAATTTTTTAAAATTGTCTATATTGTGTGCAAATTTAATTGTGTACATGTCATTAATCATTTAAAATATTATATTAAATCTTACAGATCTCATAAATTTTGAAGTTTTCAAATATCCAAAAAGTTAATCCCTTCACAATGTCAACATATACATGTGTAAAATAACATTTTAAATCATAATTTTTGATGAAAGAAAATCATGTAAAAAATATGTTTATATTAATTCTTACAGATTTATAATATATTTGTGGCTCCTATTTGATTATCGTCTCAAGGGCTTAACCATTTAAGTATATTTTTTAACTGTTATATATATATATAGGACGTTTCAAATGCAACTAATCATATTTGTACAATCAATGCAACTAAATTAATTGAGATGTTATATCCATAAATATTAAAACAATAATCAAAATTATTTTATCAACATTTTAATTTTAGAACTTACGATCAAAGAATAATACTTTTTAAATATCTCAAATAGTTTTATGATAAAAGAAATTAAATTATATCGATAAATATCTTTAGAGAAACATGCACCCAATGAATATACATAAATCATACATGTATGCTTGTGGCCAATAGGAGAATTATTTTAGAATTGTAGACGACACCTCCAATTAGGGGTGCTCAAAAACCCGACCAACCTGATCAACCCGATCAACCCAACCTAACCCCACCCCACTTGAAATAATCCAACCCGAAGCAACCTGATGTCTAATCGAGTTGTAAAATTGTCAAACCGCAGGAATTGGGTTGATATTGAGTTACTATTATTTGAACTCAACCCAATCCGATGAATCTGATATCCATTTATTTCCTGGATTTAGTATGATTGTTGAATTTCTATTAATATATATACATTAGACAATTACACTATCAGGTATGTTTTTCATATACACATATCTTCAATCTATTTATATCTCTATATAACTCATTCATATATATGTTCAGTAACTGTGAACATATATATGTAAATTGAGAAAATTAACTGAATGTGATATACGTAAGAAATATGAATAAGTTGTATCAAATGGTTGATGATAAAAAATAAATTATAAGTAGATAAATAACATATTCAAGGTTAGAAGAATATTTTAATATACCAAAGTATCAACTCAACCAATCCGACCAACCCGTATGGGTTGGATTGGGTTAAGATTTTTCCAAACCACAAGCATTGAGTTGGGTTGTTCAAAAGTCTTCAACCCGATCAACCCAACTCATGAGCATCCCTACCTCCAATCGTAGGTTATAATGGGATATTGGGATCATCTAGATGAAATCTAAAATTATCCATTTCTAAAAAATACATATTCGGGTTCAAATCCAAGAAGAAATAAAAGTCCCTTTATGATTAGGAAGGTTTATATACGGTAATTCCGCAAAATAGATGGTCATCCTGAAATTAGTCGGCTTACATAATGAATTGGATATCTCAGTTAATTAAAAAAAACAATAACCATAAGTTATGCATATTTGATTTTGTTACTATCATCTATAAATATGAACATATGATGTTAAATAAGATATATTGAAGCTATATATCAAATTAAATGTTACATTTATTTTATAAGTGAAGATAATAACATATTTATTTATATCATTATAGAATGCAACATGTAAGTTTCTAATATAAATTTATTAATTACTACTTGATATTGTTCGGGTTGTTGTTACTAAAAAATGTTTATAATTATTTAATAAATAATATCTTTATGACATTGGAATAAATAACAAAAATATGGTAATTAGAAATATTATTATATTCACATGGGAATTGATTGTTGGAAAAAGGAAAATGATTTGGTGACCACAAAATGTTCAAATGGTAGATATGTGATGCCATTTTGCCACCAACTTTTATTTTATTTTATTTTATTTTTAAACTTATTCACTGTTTTTTTTTGTTTCAATAAATTTAATTTACATACGCAAAATGGGATGTTATAATCGTGTTTTTATTTGAGAAAAAGTTTTTGGGTCGTTTTAAATAGTTTGAATGTTATGGGATGTATTTATTTTAAAAATACTAGAAGCGTACTCGTGCAATGCAGCAAGATACATCGTGTTTTTAATATTTCATTTTATTCTTTATCTCAGTCGAT